ACGATATCGGGAGTTTTTTGCTGTGAGTTCCCTTGCCTCTCACAATATCGGGAGTTTTTTTATGTGAGTTCCCTTGCCTCTCATTTTTTGGGAGGTTTTTGCTGTGATTCCCCTTGCCTGTGACTTTTCCGCTATCAAAACTTTCAAAGAATATTTGGGTATCAACAGATTCTTTGATTAAATTCTCTAAATAGCAAATAATCTTTCTTCTTCTATAATTACTGTTTCCAGATTGTATTCTGGACGATTTAAACTTTGTTGTAATAAGAGAACAATATTTTTTGGGTTCATCGACATTTTTTAAGGTTTTTTCTTTTGACCAATGATGGCGTTAGTTTAAAATTAAACTTACCTAATATTGATACTAGATTTGAGGCTTTCACGGCCATTGATACAATGTCTAGATATAGCTTCCGGAATGGAGCCGTGTCTTGAATCAGCGATGTGCCGACGTTTCGCAAACGTTGCAGTTTGCATCATCAGGGCTGAGAACTCTGATACTGAGCTCCCTTGGGTAAAGGTTGTCCTTATATGCCCCTCTCCCCCCCTTGTATAGATGGTGTTAGGGAGTAGGGGACGAGGCTTGAATCCAGCGTATCAGCCAATCAGCGTATTTTAATTGGTCAGCTGGTCAATTAAAAAACCGGGAGGGCAGTATGCCAAATAGAGTTTACTTGCATACCTTTGTCTCGGTTGAGGTTGTTGGGATGTTTTAAAATTTTTAGACCTTCACAATGTTTTCTGGCAAAATAACTCTATGAGGGAGCCAATCTGGTGGCTTTGTCATATTGTACGGAGTGTCCAGTCTCCATCCAGTGTTCAGCTAGAGCTGATTGAGTAAAGTGACCATACTTGGTACATCGCTGGTGTTCCTTGATTCGCGTACTGATCTTCCTCCCGGTTTCTCCTATATAAACTTTACCACAAGAGCAAGGGATCTTATATACACTTGATGTTTCTAGGCATGATTTCTGATCCTTCGGATTTGGGAGTAAATGGGAGAGCTTCCTATGGAGTTTGAAGATTACTTTGATTTTGTGTTTACCCAGAATCCTGCTGATAGGTTCTGTTATGCCCTGGAGATATGGAAGGACAGCCGTTTTTCTCTTTTCTCTCTCTTCATTTAATGTGTCAGTGTTTTTAGGACTGACAATTCTGTTCTTCTGGTTATATGCGGAGCACGTTCTCTATCGCAAACATAACATCTATATCGAATTCTAAAAGCCATTGTTCGAGAATAATAAATACTAATAATATCAATATAAGTAATTGTATTTATTCAATGGAAGACTACATAAAATAATTTTTGTTATAATCAACTAAATATAATAATAAACACTTATTGTTCTACATATACATATCTTACGTACCGCAATAACGAAAATAATTGTAATTATTTAACTAAAATTATTAAATACTCCAACGAAAATAATGTACTGATGCTGAACTCATTTGCTTAAGAGTCCAAAAGACTAATGTTTTTGATCTTTTCACTGAAAGTCAATAGTCAAAGTAACTGAGTAGCATTAACACTATAAGCTTAAACAGTTTAGTGTAATACATTTCTGTAATACGTAACCGAAAAACGTAAATAGTCTAACGTAACAAAAAATAGTGCTCTTGTTGCTCAAACGAATTACTGAAAAGTAACTAAAATGTTTGTAATTTCGTCATAAATACTCAAAAACACATTCAACGAAAATATTACTATTATCTATTACCGATATCAGAGGGGAATAATGAAACATAAATTCTGACTAGACCGACAGACGGATCTAACTGATAGACTTAAGTATTGCCTAACTCCATTTCTCTCAGTGGATTGACTGACTAAAGTACCTGTCTAATGTAATAGACTCACTGAACTTAAAGACAACAGTGACAGATTAATTTCAGTAACAAACTGACTAGACTGATTGACTGTAATGACAAACTGACTGATTAAAGGAACAGGCTGATATTAATGACAGATTAACTGGACTTATTGATTTTAGTGATAGACTAAACTGATTCATAATAATGACAGACTGACTTAATTAGAGTAACAAACAGACTAGATTGACTGACGATAGTTACTAACTGATAATAGTGACAGATTTATTGTTATCTATCTAGTAAGAGTAACAAACTGACTTCTGCAACTGATTTATTAAATCGAATGACTACAGTAACAGACTGATTGAACTGACTCGCTGCAGTGACAGACTGATTAGACTGATTGACTACGGTGACAGATTGGACTGTTAAACTGGATTGATTGACTGGGAGCGTCCCAGTTGCACACAGTGGGCAATCGAGGCGTGGGCAACTGGATGTAACTCTGTGTTCAGTCGCGACGTTTACAACTCACATGTTATATCGTTATGCAGGAACGTCTCATTTGCCCACAATGGGCAATCG